GGAGTCCGAGCTGACAATCTGAGTCAGGGTGGCTTCTTTGTGTTATTGGCCCACAAGGAGATGTTGACAGGAGAAATGGACCAACCCTATGTCATCCTAGAATGGCGGTCCTACAAGCTGTCAAGAGTCTCGAGGAGCTCACTCAATGCAGAAGCACAAGCATGCTCAGCGGCCATCGACTCCTTAGAGTTTTTGCACATTTTCTGGCAGGCATGTCTACAGATGAACTTTCAGCTCAACAATGCCAAGAGCGAAGAAAGGAGTGGACTGCGCTTCCTCCAGAGTGCATTGGTGGTGGACGCAAAGGCACTATATGATGCCATCAAGTCAGAAGTTCCGCAGATCAGCGGCGACAAAAGGACCCAGATAGAAGTGATGATTGTGAAGGAGAAGATGAGGTCAATGAAGACCCAGTTGCGCTGGGTATCGTCCGAAGTGCAACTATCGGATGGGCTCACCAAGATCCAGGCCAGGCAGTTGCTAGCCGATCGACTGAGGAGCCACAAGTTTTCTCTGGTTGCTGACAGTTCCTTTCAGGCAGCCAAGAAGAAGAGCGTGCATGAGAGAAAGGAGAGTTCAAGAAGAAATGCAATCAGTGCAAGTGCCAAGAAAAGCTTGGCCATGATGATTGTTTCAAACAGCGTGCAACCAGTGTTGGCTAGCAATGATGAGGACAGTGGTTGGGACTGGCCATTGTTGATTTTTACATTGCTGGTTGGACTGAGTGTTTTGCAAGTTGTGAGTTGGGTGCAACGGTGTTGCAATCGACAAGTGCCACGACAGCGAGGAGAAGCAAGCAGAGAAGATGAAGATGATGAAGAGACGATGGAAGAGATTGGAGTCCAGACAGAGGAGGCTCCAAGGAATCCACCACGAGTGGAAGACAAGACTACAAAGCTCGAAGCCAAGATCGAGCAGTACAGAGATTTCATCCGAAGAGGCAACATGGTCAACCGAGACCTGAGAAGCACGATAGAGGACCTGAGAACAGAGATAGAAGAGAGGCAGATGAGACAAGATCGAACAGATCAAGAGCTTGATCGACACCAAAGGATGATCGCAGAGATCGAAAGAGAGTTGCAAGAAGTGAGACGGCAAGCAGAGGCCGCACGAAGCAATCTCGCCGGCGTCCCGAGCCGAGTGTTCATAACGCCACGGCAATTCGACATGTGGACTACTGCAGTTTTTGCTCTCAGCAGGTGATGTCGACACCCTACATGTTCATTCCACAACCGGACGTTGGCCGCCCGTCATGAGGCTTTTCGGCCATACACCACCGGTGTGAAGATTGTGCCACAATCTTGATCTGTGGCGCGTTGCTTTCGGTTCATTGGGCGAATAGGGCCCTTGAGTCACAGGCAATCACGTGAAAAGACACTGCACTGCATGTCACGACCCCCTCCGTGTTTCGTTCGTGTTCCTGACTTCGAGCGCAGGTTCCACAAGGCTTAGGTTTTCACACCCAAGCTTTCACAGTAATAGGTACAAATTCAATGCGCCAAAAATTATCCCGGCAAGAGACCCGCGATCATATAGGACGAAGTCAAGACAGAAGTTAGGATAGGAGGGGAGTCGGAAGTAGAGAGAGTTAGTAGGTGGAGGTGAAGCGCCCGCAAGCACAAGGGAGTGGGAAGTGTGGAAGCCAAGGTCCGAATCACCTCTTCTAGATCAGGCAAGTATGCGACACAGCGAGCACATATCGGACCTTTTTCTCCTCATGACGGAGGTCTACAGAGGTCTAGAGAGCACACATCTGAGAGCACAGTCACCAGAGCACGCATCAAGCGAGCGAATGAGTGATTGAGTGAGAGTCCCGGGTGTAACCGCGCCAGGTGCACCGGACAAAAGAATAGCTGGGTGCAAAACAAGAGTCTGAAGAAGACGGAGGTCTAGAGGTCCGGAGACCGGTTTAGAGAGCGCACACAGTCACCAGAGCACGCATCAAGTGAGTGAATGAATGAGTGAGTGAGAGTGAGTGTGAGTGTGAGAGTGAGCGTGAGTGAGAGGAGAGCCGTGTGAATGAGAGTGAGCTGTGAGTGAGAGTGAGAGTCAGAGCGAGAGAAATTGAGCATTGCCACGAAAGCTTCACTTCGGGTTCACAAAGGGCTGTGCCTGCCACGACATCTGCACTTCGAGGTTCACAAAGTACTGCGCGCCTGCCACCAAATCTGCACTTCGAGGTTCACGAAGTGCTGCAGCTGCCATGAAACCTGCACTTCGAGGCTCACCAAGTGCTGTGCTTGCCACGAAATCTGCACTTCGAGGTTCACAAAGGACTGCGCGCCCGCCACGAAATCTGCGCGTGGAGGTTCACAAAGTGCTGCGCTTGCCACGAAATCTGCACGTTGAGGTTCACCAAGTGCTGTGCTTGCCACGAAATCTGCGCTTCGAGGTTCACAAAGTGCTGCGCTTGCCACGAAATTTACTCTTGGAGGTTCACAAAGTGCTGCGCCTGCCACGAAATCTGCGCGTCGAGGTTCACAAAGTACTGCGCGCCTGCCACGAAATCTGCGCGTCGAGGTTGACAAAGTGCTGTGCCTGCCACGGAGTTCGCGCAACGAGTTTCACAAAGTGCTGCGCCTGCCACGAAATCTGCACTTCGAAGTAAACGTGCCACGAAAAGGGCCTGTCCGAAAATGCGCGCGACGCCACAACGAGAGCGCAGTCACGACAAGCGCCTGCCGCCGCCGCCGCGATTGTAAATAGCAGCGAATTAGCCGGACGCGCCCGCGCAACACCTCGATCTAACACCGGTGCTTAACACCTACCGTAAGACCCCTAGTGTGTCCACACTGTTTGGGGAAATAGAGTATTTATTTTGCACTATGATAGAATAGGAGCCCAATTCAATCGAACATGCCGCCTCTCCGTGAATGTGTCTCCGATGCAAAGGACCGATAGGCCATGCCCACGTTGTCTTTCAAAACAGCTGGCGCGTGGTTATCCTCACAACGTGAACTGAATATGGTTCTGCTATCTGGGGTCTATGCTGGGTTCTTTTTGAACTTACAAAACTTTTGCCCCTAAGATTAGCTCACCTTTCTTTCTGTAGACGCTTCCCTGTTATTTTCGCTCTACAGCTTTCCAATACCTGAACTCACCTGGCTCAAGCCGGATAAGGGCACTGTGCCAATTTGTGTTCCATTTGGATATCAACGTGACTTTGCGTGTGGGGGTGCTGAACAAGGTAAGTTGCATCTATGGCCCCCTTCAGCAAGTGATGAGGATTTCTTGTGCATGTTCGGACATTCTTGCTTGGAAAGAGGCAGAGGTGGCAATCGTTTATTACAACGTACAATAGGGAAGTAAGCAAGTGTTGCGCAAAGAAAGAATACGACAAACCGCTTTTTTCTTTGCCGCCGGACATGTAGCAGCAGAAAGTTTAGAGATCTAGAGGAGTTGGGGTCCAGAGAGGTGATGGTGGTGATGGTGCTGGTGGTGGTGCGTGAGTGCGAGCGAGCGAGGGAGTGTGAGTGTGAGTGTGAGTGAGAGTATGAGTGTGAGTGTGAGTGTGTGAGCGAGTGAGTGAGTGAGTGAGTGAGGGAGGGAGGGAGGGAGGGAGGGAGGGAGGGAGGGAGTGAGTGTGAGCGTGAGTGAGAGTGAGAGTGAGAATGGGTGAGAGCATGAGTGAGAGTGGGAGTGAGAGTGAGAGTTAGACGCGTGAGAGCGAGAGTGAGAGAGAGAGAGAGAGAGCGCGAGCGAGAGTGGGAGTGAGAGTGAGCATTTGACAGCACAAAGTACTGCGCCTGCGACGAAATCTGCACTTCGAGGTTCACAAAGTACGAAATCTGCACTTCGAGGTTCGCAAAGGACTGCGCGCCCGCCACGAAATCTGCGCTTCGAGGCTCACATAGTGCTGCGCCTGCCATGAAATCCACACTTGAAGGTCCACAAAGTACTGCGCCTGCCACGGTTCCTGAAAACCTGCCACATGTAGAAAAGGCATGATTCACTGCATCTGTCGCGAAGTCAAAGTGTGTTGAAGATCACCACCATGTCCAAAGTGCTGCGCCTGCCACGAAATCTGCCCGCTCCGATCCCTTGCGCCTGTCACGAAAAGTCGAGTTTGGACTACTAAAGCACGAGGTTTCCCTGGCGCCTGCCACCAAAAGTGACCATCGTGTCCGAAAATGCGCGCGGCGCCACTATGAGAGCGCAGTCGCGACAAGCACCAGCTCCAGCCAAACAGATTTTGCGAGCCTGCGCAGTCTGTGAATTTCTTCTACAAATTGGGTCAACCCCTGTATTGGAAACGGCCATTTTGTAGGGAAATATTGGTTTGCTACGGAATCACTTTCCTGGGTGTTCGTGAGTTGTACAGTGACCAGGGTAATTTTTGAGCATGTTAGCAAAAACAATGACTTGCAAGGCAGGGCCCATTTGTATACATATAGATGTAATTTTTATATCATCCGTTGACTCGAGCATGTGCAGCCACCCACCATAGTTTTGAAAAGGGTTACAGCCCATTTTGTAGAGATGTTTGTTTAAACATTTTTCTTGGACGGGTTGATTTTATAGAGAGCCCACTTTTCTGATAATTTTTTTTGCGCCCACTCAGGCCAATCCCCAACCCAATATTATAGACTTAAGGTTTCTATCTTGGGGGGTTTGATTTTTGGATGGATTGGTTGGTTTGGACCTGGGGTGAGGCATTTGTAGATGCAACATGCCCGTAACGGGGTTGTCGTGTGAATTTTACAGGGGATTATAATTATATAATCATTGATATATATATATATATGATTTTTGGCAGCTTAAATGAAGCCGAGGCCCACAAGATCCTAGCCCACGAAGCTTTGGTCCCAAATAGGATCGTGTTGCCTGTGAGCACCCTGCAGTGCAGTGTCGGAAGTCAGTGAATGTAGTTTCTAACACCCGGAGGCCACCACTATTTTGTTAGGGTGTCATAGCGACAGGATGTACTTTAATTTTGTATCCTTTTTTTTGCGCACATCGTATCAGTGCTCATTTCAAACAGACAACGACAAGCATTGCAGGCTCTTGCATCTCGCCAGTGGGTTGGCACGTGTTGTTGGTGCTTGGGTGCTTCTAGTTCCACGAGGCCTGGGGATGTATGCACGCACTTGCCAGGACTCCTGACCCCAACTTTCCAATGCAAGGTCCAGATGATAATTAACAATACCCGTCAATACTTGTACCTCTGCAATATGTGTTTTTGACTTGGCTTCTGGAATTGCTTTGGAAGTCTAATGGCTTTTGTGCATTGCTTTGCAGATCTAGGTGTGGCGTGTGGTGTGGAGAGCAACACCAATCTACATGAGGCCGCCAATGCAGCCTTGGAACGAATGGACTTGGAGGCAGGGAGAAGCAGGGTCGAACCTGTTCTGTAGAATGAGCAGGTCAGGCATGGTTGTTGCTTTCAGTATGTACGCATATTAGGTTGGAAGCCATCGCTAGTAGGAGGAGGCCATCGTTGTATTCAGTAGTCTACAGTAACATACCAGGTCCAGCAGCGAATTCTGCTTCATCATGGTTGCCTTTTGGAGATGCAGTCTGACTGGCATCAGGCCGGCAAGCCCGCTTGTTTGCTACAGTTTGACGGTCTTTGCTTCAAGGCTACAGGGTCACTTGTATTTCTCAAGCACATGCCGGTGTAGTTCCTTATCCTGATGGAATGGTGATGACCCAAAGTCTAGATTCAAGGGCGCGGTCTGCGCATGCTGTGCCACAATTGCTTGATGAGATGGACGATCATTGTGGTGGTGTTGAAACGACAGAAAAAGGACCGCATGAGAATTTACGCGTTTGACCTCTACTGGTGCATTTGAAGCATACATTTGAATGGCGTCAAGATGTGTGTCAACAAACTGCCATCGACCATACTCTGGTTGTCGAATTGTTTCCAAGTCTGCGATAGCGGCGAAGAACATGCAGTTACTCTCATTGACAACCCTTTGCGAAAGACCCTAGAAGCACTTCCGGCCGCCACCTGCGAAAACCTCTGAACAAGAATTGGACCATGCCTTTTTTTAATTTATGAACCAGGTTGGTGTATGCCTTTCGAACTTGCCAAGGATATATAATTCTTTTGCTTTGTTGCCTTTGTCACTTTGTCTTTCTGCATAGGGCAAGTCCTTTTCCTCAAAATTGTGGTTGTGAGTATCAGAGAAAGAAACTATCACTCAGCTTGTGCTGTGCGGCAAAGCCTTTTATGTGGCAGCGTTATGGCCGACAGGCCGGTGTCATTCTGGTGAGCGGTGAAGCATTGGATGATGTACGGGTTGAGAAAGTGGCAAAAGGCCTAGAGAGGTGCGTGGAAATACTCAGTAACAAGAAGCTACTAGGGGCTCCTGGCCTTACTACTAGGAGCAAGGACGCTACTAGGGGCTCCTGGCCTTACTAGGAGCAATGTACCTGTGTTTCGCATCGAACCTTTGCGGTGCAGTTACTGGACATGATGTGCATACCGCGGTATACCTGTGGATAGTTTCTGCCTCAGTTGCAGGACACAGCCTGGAACCCGTATCGCGTCTATTGGTCGGCCTTTGTTAGATCCTTCCAGAAGTAGTGCACTTCAGTTCATCCGCCAGGCAGAGCCGGATTACTCCTGTTGTTTCCCACGTTTTTTGTGATGTAAACAGCTAAAAGCCTGAACAGTGGGAAGGCGCCTTATCGGACAGTTGGTTCGGGCAATACGTGCCTTTCTTGCAATGCTGTCCTCCAAGATGGATTGCATCGCTGCTGCGTCTTGTATCCGGCTTGCCAGTTGCAAGGCCTGTGTTCATTTACCGGAAGCCTGGCATCTGAGAGAAGCTTTGTTGGCGCAATGCCGCTGCTCGCAGAGCTCACAGAGCTTGGATGGTTTACCACTCGGCCCTTCAATGGCAATGGAACAGGCATTGCATTCCGAATCGGATGCAAAGCAGTGCCCAGCAAGAGGAAGCTACTAGAAACAAGTGCATCGCTACTAGTAACAGGTGCCACGCTACTAGGAACAAGAAGCTATTAGAAACAAGTGCCTTACTAGTAGTAACAGGCTGTTCTTTTACCGGTGCAGCGATGTGAGATAGTCGTCGATGTAGGTGCATTGTAACACTCAGCTCTGTCAAATTTCTTTCAGATGAGACACTGCACAGCAGCCTGTTGCAGCTGTAATTGGGCTCAAAGCCAGCTGCCTCCCTATTTCAGTATGGTTTCTTGACTTGTATTTGCATTCACTTCATTTTGTGAACAACGGAAGGATCTTGAGATGGTGGTGTGGAACTATTATATAACACAAGAACTCTTGTGCTGTGCTTTTCATGATTCTGCCAGGCTGGTCAACGTTCTAGTGGCGGGATTCTACTTCTGTTTGCAGCGGTCTGCGCTTTGCTGCACCTTTGCTTCATAGTCACCAATGGAATGATCGATGAGTTCCGGAAGTCTTCTGGTTGGATTCAAGCAAGTGCTGGAATATGTTGGAATCTTTTACTTGAGAACTTGAGAGTTCCTGTGCAGGGAGCTTTGGTCTGCTCCGAATGAACTCCCGCGGGCTCTTGTAGTGGCGGAGGAAGCAGAAGATGAAGGCGATAATTTCTTCAGCAAGGCTGGAAGTCGAGCAAGAGTAGATTGGGAGACCATTCTCTCAGCGAGACAAGAAGTAGGCAAACAATTGGTCCGAATTGGTCAGCAATTGCTGAAGGCCCAAGCACAACCGTCAATCTATAAAGACCATGGCGACCGTGGTTTTGTACCAAGAGTTTCCAGTGCAGGTGTTTGCAGCCGCCGCACAGGGCTGCACCGCATCCTGTTGTGCATCCTATACGAGTTTTGGACAATTTGCAGAGAAAGAGACTTTCACAGGGAGATGAAAAACATTAAGAATCAAGACACTGATCCCATGCCTCCTTTTCAACTCTTTCCCCCTCCTTCTCTCTGCCCCATGCAATGCTTGCTATGCTGAATTGACAAACTCTTCAGCGAGAGTTGCTGAATCACCGCTCAGGCTGCTTTCGTGGCAGCAATTCTGTCTGCCATGTGCGAACCCTTGGACCCCTGGATTGCAACAAGTCATGGCATGTGATGCCTTTGAGATGCCTTTATGCATTTGGATGATTGTAGGTTTCCAGCATTACCCTTGTAATCAGGTGAATCGCTTGTTGGTGAAGCGAATGACCGTTGCTCAGGTGGGTGATGTAGGTAGGCGTTGCTGCAAGCAGCAGAAACGATGAAAATGGCACGATGAAGGCAAACACACTCTCCTGACTCTCCTGTGGATTTGGGAAGACTGCTGCCCTTGCTTCCTTGACAGGCGTGGAATGAGATGACCCTGTCATTGGTGGCTGGCTTCTTCCTGACCACTTTCCCAACCAACATGCCACTTGCTGGTGTAAGTGAGTGGCAAGTGGATGAGCACGACCAGAGTTGTGGATTGCAAGCATTTGCTGGGCAGTTGATTGATGTCTGAGCAGAGCGTGGCGCAAACCTAATGAGCAAGAGAATTCCTTCAGCTGCCGATCGAACCTTTTCCGCGACCCAAGCGATCCGACTTGAGTGATCTTATGATCAAAAGGGCAGCTGTTCAAACAGCCATGCTTTGATGTGACATGAGGAGCACGTATTCCGTACTGCCCCCTTTGGCTCTCCAGTAGGTGAAGCCAGCTTTCTTCCTTTCAACACTTTGGCCTTTCCAAGACCACCTTGGTCAGCCCCTTTTTAAGCTTTCTGGCTCAAACTGCCTTCTCGGTTGGTAGCGCATCTGGTGAAGGGAGCGAGTCAAAGCACATGTGAGGCAAGATTTGGACAACGCACTCGTCCACAGGCTCACTTCCAGCACTCTGCACACACCGTGGGCATCATCTTTCGCGAGGCCGAGGAGCGGTCAGATAGTCTCAGTCCCTTCTCTGATGGTGCGCTCGGCCACAGCGCGTGGTGAAGGACTGGCATTCCTTGGTCTCTTTGGTGCTCTATTTCTTCTTCTTCCTCCTCCTCCTCCCCCTCCTCCTCCCCCTCCTCCTCCCCCTCCTCCTCCCCCCTCCTCCTCCTCCTCCTCGTCGTCGTCGTCGTCCTCGTCATCGCCGATTTTGTAATAGTAGTGAGTAGTGAACCATTCGCCGGTTGCCCTGCGATGGATGTTGCCGCAGTTTTGTCCTCTTCGTCTTGGGCGGTCAGCGATCACCAAGCAAGGATGAAGCCGTGACACGAAGAGGAGATGAATCCCATCCCGCGGGCCAGAAAACAGAGGACGGTGGCGCTCTCAACTGCCGAATGTGAGCCTAACAATGGTGGCAGGAGAGTCAGTCGGAGTCATCTTCCTGAAAGACCTTATCAGCCAGATTTGACACAGGCTGGGACAGGTCGCGCGAACAGCCCGCGTTCGCCAACCAGGCGATCGTTGAACATGTTTGGGTTTGGGCCTGGCCCCGAAATGCTCGCAGATATAGGAACCAAGGCCCTTGCCTTTGCAAGATTGGCGGCGGCGGCGCCCTTTGCCATTTTTCCAACCAGCTTGGAGAAAGCAGCTGTGAATCGTTCAGCTCCGGACAAGACCCACAAATCTCTCATCTCACCTTTCTCTTTCCTCCTTTCTTCCCAGGCTTCTTGGTGACTGCGAGCGTTGATGGAATCACCTCCACCCCCGTGCCTTTGTTACCTCAATTATGCGTTGTACCTTCTCCTTCCCGATCGGTCGCAGAGCATGCTTGTTGACGATGAGGGAGCTCACCTCCCTCAAAGCGGAAAGGATCACTTTTTCATTCACCAGTCACCTCTTTTTGGTGACGCTATCTTGGGTCTCTTCCTTGTCCTCTTCTTCTTTCTCTTTCACCCTCCTCAGCTTCCTCAGCTTCTCTAGGGTGAGGAGACACGCTTTCGTCATTTCTTCTGCGAACACAACTTCACACTTGTCCTAAACTCAGCCTGACCCCCTCTGCGTCCCTGTCCTCAAATCTTCTTGACGGTGGCTTTGCTTGCAAGTACCTCCCTATAAAGATAGTCCACCCAAGAGTCCTGAACTTTCCATGGCAATCCAGTGACCTTCTTCGGGCAGTGATCGACGCATCGTCTGGCTTTACACCAGGCCATCCTGCGTAAACTCGCCTTTCTTAGATGCGGTGGCGCCTCCACATTTCAGCCCAGCGCCACTGGCGTGCTCCTTGTTCTGCTTGCGATATAGGGCTGATAGGGCTCGACGAATCGTATCCTTCAATCTTGACGGTCGTCTCAACTCTTCCATTCGGCTGCGGCTCATCGCCTGCTGTCCTGATTGGTGACAGCCATGCCTCTCCTCCTCATCCAGTCGTGGCCAGCAAACTCATGGCCTTGATTCGTACCAGCGCGATGTAGGTGACGGTGTGCTAGCCATTGAGCCGAAGTACCATATCCATCGTGGCTCTTGTCATTTCTGGGGCTTACGCCCAACTGCGGGCCAGCAGGGGGTGCAGTGGCAGGTGGCAGGGGCAAACAGGTGAGTGTTGTTGTTGTGGTGGCGGCGGTGGTTGTGGTTGTGGTTGTGGTTGTGGTTGTGGTTGTGGTTGCGGTTGCGGTTGCGGTTGCGGTTGTGGTTGTGGTTGTTGTTGTTGTTGTTGTTGTTGTTGTTGTTGTTGCACCAGAAACAAGGCCACACGCAGGGCGTAACCTGCACCTTGTGGCCATCTTAAGCCATCTTGCGTGAAGGGGGTACCCTTACAAGCTTACAAAAAAGAAGTTTGAACATCGAACCATGTTTTGCGAAAAACAAAACACAGTGTTTTCTAGTTTTGGTGGCTGCGTTCGCACGCCAGAGCCAAAGACGCCCGTATTTGAAAATGTTTTCAAGCCCTTCCTTTTTCACCGTGGCCCGCCTCCAGACCTTTTTCTCAGTGGTCCTGCGGGATTGCTCGCGCCTGCTACGCGTGGTCGGCAGTAAGCTGTACGACCTTACCCTAGCGTACAGTACTCTTGTGTTTTTGGAGAGACTGCGCGCCTTCCATGCATTTCAGGATGATGGCCAAGGTCTGGTTTTGAGGGTCCCCTGAAGTGGTTTACTCTTTCTTCCTTCGTGTGCTCTTGGCGAGCCCAGGTGGAAGAAACACGAACCCCTCGTGAGCTTCTGTTGAGAATGGCAAAGAGACATTCTTCTTCTTCTTCTTCTTCCGCTTCTTCCTCCTTGTTCTTCTTCTTCGTTCCCCCTCTCCTGGAGAGTTGTGGTCGCTGGCTGTAGGTCCTGTTTGAGAGCCCAATTTTCTTCCTACAGGTACGTCGTTTGCTCACCTCATAGCGCCCGCCTCCTCTCAAGACTTTGTCAAGAAGCAGAGACCGGGCGCCCCATACTTCAACCGACAGTTCTCCTGCATCAGGTGTTGTAGTTGACGTGCCATCTCTTCTTTCTCAAGCTGATCGAATTCTTCCTGTCCTTGAGTCTCGGCAATCTCGTCAATCGCATCC